TAAAACTGAACCGTTCTCCGGTGCGCCGTAACGTCATAAAACGTCGCCATTTCTCATGTGTTGTGTTTACCACTTTCCCATTTCGAATGCTCGAGAAACTGCCAAAAATTAAGCAAATGCCTTAAGATTTTTACAAAGACTACAAAATTGATTGTGGAATTGAATTAGGATAATTTTAATCCAAATCTTATGTATTTAAAACTTTTATTTTGAATTCAAACTTGTGTATTCTTTAATAAAACCTTGGTTTTTTGACCGTGCGCCGTAGGACAACACCTCGTGCACATTCAAGCATAATAAAATCTTTATTTTTGCCTATATTTTGTCAAAAAAATTATGATGCACTTAAATACGTTAAATAAACATTTACTGAAATTTTCACCTTAGTGCGCCCATTACTTTTCGAGAAAAACGCTTTGTCCACGATTTTACGGGACAACCCTCGTATACGCTGCATGCAGAAATATCAGAAAAAGAGGTCTTCAAAATATATTAATCGAAAAACACATTACAATGAATGAAACGAGAAGGTGCGCAGACTTCCAGGAGTCCAGATATTCTTTCATTCAGGACGCAATGGTGCTCGAAGGATAATGCACTCTTTTGTATGTTGAGTGCAATTTTTTCGAAGCGCTGCTTCCACATATTCTTGAGTATTTGATGGGCATCTTGTCACAGGTGAGATAGTTTGTAAAGACTCCTCGCAAGCATTGTTTGGAAGTTGTAAACTTAGTGTTCCTTTCAAGACAATCCAAAGTATTTTGATTATTGTCTGTAAATAGTAAAATATAATAATATACGTTTTAATGACTGCAGATTGATTTTTATTTAGACTTATGTCATAAATACTAGATAAAACGCCTCTATCATAATAGTTACTTTTCTCAATGTAAATGGCAGTTAATCTACTGTGATATATTATATTATTTGAAAAATAGAAAAGCACACAAGACTTCTCATTATGAGGAAAATTTCACAAAAACTGTATCATTTTTTCTGTTATTGGAGTCCAGACCTTCCGATAAAATTTTAGAACAGATGTTCAATTTTCTGGATGCCGTGGCAGATTTGGAAATTGAACCTAGATATTCAATTCTGTGGTTAAAAATATAAAATCATACTTAGTACAGATGTATATTCTTATATAATATCCGTTAAGTATAAAATTATTACTTTTATATTTTCTCTTGATTACCTGTCAAGCGTAAAATCAACGTGCAAGCAAGCCAAGCCATCTTGTTAGCAAGTTTGCATGTATTACAGTGAGAAATAGATGAAATGTCTTCTTGTATCGGGGCATCTTTTTTCAATCTCTCTCTCTCTCTTCGGAATAAAGTGAGATGTAGTTACAATAAGTTAAGACTTTTGGCGGTAATTCCCGTCCATAAACGCACATTAATAATGTGTTCGTCTATTGAAACAAGCAGATGTAAGTCTTGCTTCAGAAATTGTAAATGTATGTAGATTTTTTATACAGGCTGTTTCATAATATGTGTTACAATTTGAGATCTAATACGCAAGTTTCGAGATTATCTCCCTTGTTGCGCTCTTTCGTTGAGGAGGGGAGCTTCGTTGCCGCGTAGTCTGACAGGTGGGACAGATATTTATTATTTATATATTGGATATATCGGTACAGATAACGCGTGCGACCGTTAGAGCGAGCGCAAACTCTTCTGTTGTTTTGATTTAGGTCGGACTCGTCAAACCGCACGTGGCATTTGGTTCGTCTAGACTCTGACGTCACATGACGTAGTGTGTAAGTTGCCAAGAAAAAGCCTGAACAGTGCTGAAAGTTAATGAAGAAAGTTTCGTTTTCTTTTTTTATATAGATATATATCCATTGAGAAAAGACGAGTAAACCTTTTGTTGAACATTTGCTGTTATTCTCGCGAGAACGTGGCTAAAATAATTGATGCATTATGGGTCGAAATTACGGCATCAAAAAATTCTATCGAATGAATGAGCTCGCTTTTATTTTTCTTTCCTAACATATTGCTATTGCACTCTTTATATAATTTTGAAAATCGAATCCTGCATTTTTGAACCATCTGAAAAAGTCAAAGAAATCATGGTTTTTCAATGATTAATTGTGCTATAAATTCCAATGTCATAATAAGAATATTTGAATATTTCTGGAAATGGACTTTACTTCTACACTCAGTGCTGAATTGTAAAGCTGTTTTTTTTTCCAAACCATGTCGCCAATATCCATTCCATTCATTCACAAGTTCAAGAAATAAATACTCCCCTCCCCCCCCCCCCCCAAAAAAAAAATAGAAGCTTTCTAGGATGCTAATCAGAAGGTTAGTAACAAGGTTAAAGGACAGGGATGGACAGTATGCGATAAATGACACAGTATTCCAGAAAGCCGAAAGACTTTAGGAAGTGGAGATTTTATTGGTGAAGTAGAGGCTTTTAGTGTAGCAAACTACTGAGAAAGGGCCTGATAGAAACTTTCAGAAATTTCCTCTTTGGATATAAAACTGTTCGGGTAAAAATCCACATTGAAGCACAGACGCACAAAATTTTGTATTTAGAATTTTTACCCATTCAATAACGTTTTTAACAAACCCAAAATATTCTAATACTTTATAAACAAAAGTCCAGGGTATTGAATCAAAAGCTTTTTCGAAGTCTATAAGTAAAAGCAATACCGGTATATTTCTAGATTCAGTGTAATCCATAAGATCGTAAAGAAATCTGCTATTTTCACCTATATATCTTCCTTTTAAAAATCCAAGTTGAGTATTTGATATGATATTGTCCAGGGTGGATCTTATTCTATGACTAATACAACCTGATAAAAGTTTATAAAACACATTTAAAAGTGTGATAGGTAGCCAATTCTTCAAAAATTCTCTTGGCTTAGCACCTTTTGGTAAGCATGTAATAAACCCCTATCTTTGAGAAATGGGAAGTTCCTTCCTCTGAAATATATCATTTATGGCAAGTACTATAAAAAGTTTTAAATCTGACCAAAAAAATTTAAAAAATTCTGCGGTAAAGCCATCACTTCCTGGTGACTTATTGTTTTTCATGTATTTTAACACCTCCAAGACTTCATTTTCCAAAAATTTTCCCTCAAGTGTTTTGGCAATATGGTTTTCAAGTTTTGGAACCTCAGTAACTGTTATAATTTCTGCAAGATCTATGTCGAGAAGTTCTGCATCTACTGAAGTATAGAGAGATTTGTAATACATCCTAATTTTATTTCTGACTGATTGTAAATAGTTTCATTTTCCTCTGTTTTAATCTTTTTGATAATCTTATTCAAATAATTACGGGATTCTAATTTACAAAAATATTGAGATGGTTTTTCTCCATATTCAACCCATCTGGCTCTGGATCTTATGATGTGATCTTGTAGCTTTTCTTTTCTTAAATTCTCAAGATCAGTTTTTTTCTCCTCTATTAAATGTAGATTCAATGTATTCTCTGCCTCTAATTTTTCTATTTGTGCAATTAACAAGGCTTCTTCTTTATTTTCTTCTTTCTTTCTACATGATGAATATGAAATAGTAATGCCTCTAATCTCCATTAGAAGGACTTCAAAAAATGTACTGTTATCCATATTTTCTATAAGCACATTATTCTTTTCGTATTTGTTTCTAACCGATTTTATTGTTTCTTTCACTTTGGTAACAATGTTTTGTCTACAAGTAAAGAGTCATTAAAGGACATGATAGGGTAAGGTCATAATTTGGCCCCTCATCAATTTTGTTCATATTTATATCAAATAAACCACTGAACTTACCTTTAAAGAAAAAAATGTTTAACCGCTCTAGCTCTTTATTTAGGTTGCTAAGCAACACAAATGACATAGCAACATTTTTGACAGATTTTATGCGTTTGCAGCGAGAATACATCAATAAATAATCGCAATTAAAACAATGGTACATGTGCATAAGTAGATAAATCTATTACCGTATACATGTAACACAATCAGACAGATATAAATCTTTTTTACGGCATATATATATATATATAGATATATATGTCACGTAGCAACCAATTGTATCCCTAGCAACAAGAATCTTTTATAATGTATAAAAGCATAACATGGGTTAAGTATATGTGTTGGGTAATAAAAATCAAGATTTAAAACAATTCATATGATACTTATATTCAGGGTTTATGAGAGTCAAGAATCAAATTATTATATCCTAAATTAATTTGTCACCTTAACAAAAAAATATATTTGCACTGCACCAGGTCTTTACTAAATAAACCTATTTGCTGCTTTACTCTTCTAATGAAGAGTGAACCTCTTCTTCGTTCTCGGCATCACTATCACTGTCAGTCTGAGGTAGATCCTCTGCATTCAAAACATTGTCAACCATGTGTGCCTTTGGAATGGTTCTGTTCACGTGTCGTTTGTACCCCAAATACCACAAAACGCTTGCTACATGGCCACATGTACCAACGACACGGGCACCAGATTTGCAAGTACAATACCACCCTGTTATTGTTGAATTTTCTGGTGAGTATTGTATCCATAAATTGTGTATGATGTGGTTTGAATGCCTGGACTGTATCTTTACTCGAAAGAAATCTGGTAAATCTTTACATAAAAGAATAGAATAGAGTCCATCATCTGCTATGTGCTCAGCGGTGTAATGTTGGGCCTGCTTTAACTGGTATATGCCAAATGTAATCTGTCGAAGATCATCTAGTGATAATTTTGGAAAATTGTCTAGAGTCTCATTTTCTTCAGTGATATTTATGTATGTATTTCTCTTTCTTATCAAATTGTTTTCCTCTACTAATGCCTTGACATGATTTATAAACTTTGATCTCTCCAACATTTCTTTGGCAATGCTTTCCCCCTCTGGATTATGGTTGGATAGTGGCGGTCTGAAGTTGTTGCAGAGTGAGCAAACTATTCGCACAAAGTCACCTATTGAACTAACATAATGGTTTGATATAACTTTATCCAAGAGTTTCCAATTTTTTATTCTGCCATTGACACTTTCCACTACCCAGCGCACTTTTGTGATCAACCGGGAAAGATTTGCCTCTTCTGTGCAATGTTGATTTGATCCTTTCCTTAGAAAGCATGGCATTTCCACTTGTAAGCCGCAGCTCGTTAAGAAATCCACAGAATCACGGAATCCGCGATCCACTACACATACATCGTCAGAAGTGATCCAATCAGAGAGATTTTCGGCATTTGTTTTGAATGCATGTTTTGTAATGCTTGAATCACTGTTTTTGGAATCTGCTCTTTAAGGCCCTAGCACACTTAAAATGTAACCATCGGATCCAGCAATAACCATCAGTTTTACAAGTGGCCGATGTTTGTACAAGCTATATTAAACTCTTTGAAAATGATAGTCTGAACTCTTTTGAATGTACAAATATGTACCATCCATTATCAGCACTGCAGAATTAGAAGTTCCAGATGTAAAAAGAGTTTTAGCTAGAGGGGTTGTATGTTGTTGTGCAAAGGTATCATGATCAATGTGTTGAAATCCAAGGTTTTTTGGAACATAATCCTGAATCAAAGCATTCTTGGCAGCATGGATAGACCTTTGTATTTGTGATTTCTTTAGAGAAAACAATACGGCCAGAAGATTATTTGATAAACCAGTGCGAAGTATTACAAGCAAGATTGCAAGGCAGGTTCGTTTAGACCGGACAGATGTATTTCTGAGAGAGGTAAGAGATGACAGGACTTCAAAAAATTGATTCTTAGACAGACCTGTAAAGTAGTAATAATCTTCATCTGACAATGATAATGGATTTTCAAAGTCTAATCGAGCTTTTAATAACATTGATTGTCTCATCCTCTGAAGAAGGTCAGCAATGTCTGTCCTGTTGAGATAAGTCTCGTCATTCGTTCCTTCAATCTGTGACATTGCAGTTTGGGTGAGTATGTCATTCTGAAAATGAGACTTACAGGATCTAGAATTTTCATCCACATATATTCCTTTTTCAAGGACGATGTTGGTTCTTGCCTGTAAAGGCACAACTCGCATGCGATTTGCTGATTTTTTACACACAATACAATATTTGTGTGATTTTGACGTGCTTGGAAATTGAAGTTTGACAGAATTTGGACTGACTTGTTCATCAGGTTTATTTACGGTACACTGCAAGTTTACTCTTTTAGATCTGTAGAATTCCCTGGAACAGCTCAAACAAGTGACATCGTCTTCTGTGGCTCTTCGAACCAGAAGTTTTCACAAGTATTTTCGGAAGTGGCCCGAATTTACAGGGTGTTTCAACAAACATGTCCCGATTTTGATGCCTATCAATGATTTTTGCACAATGATAAAATATCTATAAAATTATAACTGTATTTTAAAGCCCATTTTCTTGCAATATCATCGTGATATGAACTATATAAAATAAAGTCATTACTTTTTTTTCCATTTATGTTTTAATTACATTTTCAAAAACGAGCTTGTGAGGTTTTTTTTTTCCTTCAGAATTGGATCTAAGGATTTTTTTAAACTATACAATTGAAGCAGAAAATCAAATTATCTCCAAAATCATCAATATTAGTGCACAAGATTTTGGAAAAAAAGTACCACAAAAAAATTTATATTACTGTAATATAAAAACCATCTTTCTAGGGAACAGACTTTTCATTAAAAATATCCAAATCTATGTCATAAAGGACTTCAGAGACAAAATGAGGATGGAGACTGAAAATTTTGTGACTTTTTAGAATACAAAAATGACGTGAATTAGAAAACTGTTACCGATGTTCAAACTTTTAAAATGTCTGTCTTAAAAAATAATTGAAACATATAATTACATTGTACTTCAACTTTCATATTGATAAAATTGTTTGGTTATACGGTTTTCATTTTTGCAAAAAAAATTATTCGTTAATACTGTCTAAATTTACATTGAAACGCAAAGTCGGGACATGTTTGCTGAAACACCCTGTGTTTCTTTTTTTTTTTTCATTCATCAAACCGTAACGGTTTGTCATTGCTAATAATACTGTATTTATTTTTTATTTATTTAATTTATCATTTATATATTTGTTTTATTCATTTATCTATTCTTTCTTTATTTAATATGTTATTAAGACCTCATTTGTCTTGTGTGTATTTACTTCAATGACTAATCTTTGTTACATTTTTTGTTGTTTTCGTTTCACCCTCTGTTTACGTTTTTAAAGTTCTTCCCCTTTGTTTCATTTGTTTCATTCTGTCGTAGTTTACGGGATATATAAATGAAGATTCCGGATTATGCTTACTTAATTAATTTTAGTGGTAATAGATGGTGATTGCTTCCGAAAAAAAAGAAGAGAATTTTTGCATATGATCACACAACCGTGAAACGATAACCTGTACATGTAACTAAGTATATATGCGTCTCTAACAACGTCACACCGATGGATGCAGGTCGAAAGTGAAAGTACACGATGATAAGAAGTTTTACACAACACACATTCTACAATTTATACATCAGAACAATCATATTGATAAAGAAAATTCAAATGTGATAAAGCTTCGGTTTATAAAAATTTATATTTCCATTAAAAAGAACCACAACACAATACAAAACTAGAACATGATTGTGATTATATACATGATGTATTCATGGAACAGCTAATATCCCGGTTGTCACATATTTTGTTTTTCTGTTTAACTCCATCAATTTGAGGTGGGAAAAAATCTGAAATATTTTTATAAAATTGTAGATGTATAAATATATACTTACATTATTGGATTTTTGCACATTTCTTCTTTTTTCTATATTTTTGAGCAGACGTGCGTTCGTATTCCGATCCCGATTGCAATTTTTGCGACATTTCCAACACTTAATTTTTTCTTAAAAACATAGAGCACAGCATTGCCTATTTCTGATATTTGCACAAAATATTAATTGTATCACTTGTTTTTATTGTGCAAAGTTTCACAGATAGGCAAGCGTGTGCTCATAGTTTATTTCACTTATGTACGCTGTAGAATCTAGGTAAAATGGCTAAAATGCAGAAGTCAATGATACTTCATAGTGCAAAATAGTAGCATAACGTACAGCATTTTGAAATTACATTTTATGCTGTATTAGTGCATATAATATTAATTAAAAATAACCCACAAAATATGTGTTTCCTTTCCATTTTATTTTAATTAAATAAGGGGGGTCATCAGTCAACCGTAACCCTATCTTGTCCTTTCCAGACACCTTTCCCTTTCTTAAAGGTATTGAATTTTATATCGAGAACCACTGATGAGTGATCAGATCTGTACCCTGGTTTAATTGCTAAATTTTCAACCAAGTTGTATATATTTTTTTAGAAATTAAAATATAATCTAATCGTCCTTGTTTTATTGGATTTTTCTTTCACCATGTAAAACATTTTAAAATTTGGATTCAAAACCCTAAAATAGTCTATCATTTGTAAGTCATTCATAATTTCCAAAAGTTTTTCTCTTGCCTTTGGATTGTTAATGTTACAATAATTTTCTGTATCTATTTAAGGGTCAAGAGCCAGATTAAAATCACAACATGAAATAAAATAATCATTATCACATTTTAAAAATGTCTCTCTTCCTAATTCATAAAACTCTGGATTGTCAGAATTTGGTCCATATATATGAATTAAAGTAACTTTATTATCCTCGATTGTCATATCGAGAGCTAAAAAATTACCATAATCGTCCTGTTTCTCCCTGTGAATATGAAATTCAAAATTGTTATTAAAGAGAATGCATACCCCTCTAGAGTTTGACTTGTACTAATTAAAAATACATTTATATCCCCATTGTGTTTCAATATAAGGTTCTATTTCTTTAGTAAAGTGAGTATCTTGCAAACAGAGAATTGAAGAACTCTTTTTTCTTATAATAATTTAAAACATCCTGTCTCTTGGTACCTGTTGCCAAGCCTTGACAATTCACCGTTGCTAGTTTAATTGAGCTACTTTTTTAGTTTGTACTGTTTTAGAAAAAAGCAATAAAAAGACTCGAATATGAAAGCACCATCTTTCCGAATAATGAAACACATATATTAGAAAAACAGGGGGACATACACACACACTCACCGACACACTTACACAAAAAGTAAACATGACCTGAATTTACCGAATATCGAGCCCGATCTCCCAGTCAAAATGTGTTATTTTCGCAAAGTCCACTCCGCTGCATGTTTGAGTAATTATTTAGTGTCCATTCAATTTTTCAGACACGTCCAAAATGTCAAATTTGTAGTGATTTCCTTCTTCGTCGTGGGCTAACACTTTTCCATTGAAGTACCATGCACCATAAATTCGCGGATCATTGTACAAGTCGCGCACCAGCTTAGCGTTCATTTGTGTTAGGTGATCGTGCATGGTGAAGATCTTATGAAGATTTTTGTCAGCTCTGTTTTTGATTACCATTTATATTATTGTATGTGAAGGAAACAGGCAAAGTTAATTGATTGGTTTTGGTTTCTAAGTACAGCCTTAATGTAATAAAAAGAATCAAGGAATTTTGTCGTATGAAATTATTTTAGGACATATAGGAGCTTTTATTCTCACCATTTCTGCTATTCACGGTCATGTTTGGATGGAGAGATGCTTTACTAATGGATGACACAGGACTGTAGATCTTTTCTTTTAAGAAACCAGTAATAGTTGCTGAATGGATTGTGATATATATTTGTAATAATTGGTTATTTGATTGAAAATTTCTAACTGTAAAGTATGCAATGAAAATTAAAGCTTAAACAAGATTTCAATACAAACATTGATTTCTATGAAGGTCGTCATCTAAAAATATACTACAGGTATATTTTTGTACTTACTGGTACTTTTAAAACATTGTCCATTCCTGTGGTCACAATTGTATCTACATGCATCTGGACACAAACTTTGACATTCACTCCCAAATAATCCGCCTGGACACTTTTCTGTGCAATTCCAACCAATATAGCCTTCTGGACATTCTGTAATTAAAAAATGTGAATACATTGAATATATATTACCTGCATTTAAAATGATGTTCCTTCAAGGTTGAAAAAAAGTGTTTTTACTTAAAGCTGACATGAAATCTTAAAAACGCATCATTTTCATCTATGTACGATTTGTTTCATACCAACTATAGCCGTATTCCGCCATATTTCTTTCGGATACCTTGTCTCATTGTAAAGATGTATACCCCAATGCGCTCGTTACACTTGAATGCTTTTTTGGATTGGGTATCGACTTGTGCACATCTCCGATGGTAAAGCATATGAGAACACTTGAGGTGATCAAGACATTTCAAAAACAAAATAAACAACATAATTATCATATTTTTGAATGATTATTGATTTGAATCAAAAGAAAAAAAATGCAAGTTTGGAAAAGAAATTTAGATGCATGAATACGATTTTTTACAGTGCGCCAATTTATGCAGAATAAACTTGAAATAAAAAGCAGTAAAATTTGCAAACACATTTTAAATTATTATCATTTGAATGGATCAAAACAATCAACGTCTTTGATTTGCAGGTCCTATGCAACTGATGCATATCGAGAAAACGCCTCAAACGCTGTAAACGTACCCATACCTGTTAATAAGGTTACTGCATCGGTTCGAAGATGTGCACAAGTCAAGTGAAATACACCTTGAATTCCATTTATTGAAATATGCATCACAAAAAAGAAATAAACTCCATAAAAGCTCAATAGTAAACAGGTAAACACACTGTCATTACTCCGTTCACACTAGCACGGCGATACACTTAGTCCGTGCTGATCAGATTTTGATCAGGGAAAATATCAAAAGTGGAAAGAGAAGTTATTTGTTATTTGCGCGGCTATTATAACTGATGTTCATTAGCTATGATTGTGAATTGTTTATCTACATGTAGTTCTAATATACATTCTTTACCAAGTCATGTATATAGTCTGCAGTTGGTTTGCGTCGAAAATTCATTTGTCAATTATAACTGATTATTTTAGTACTAATCTCAAATCTAAACAAAGTAATTTGATGTACGGCTATAATTTACTTCAAATCTTAAAAGCAATTAACCAGAATACAATTTT